GAAGCGGGCGGGGGGTCTCCGGCGGCGGGGCGCTTGCAGGGCTCTTTCCCTCCGCAGGAGTGGGAGGAGCGGCGGCGGCGAAACATCGAGCAGATGAACGAGGAGATGGAGAAGATCGCCGAGTACGAGCGCGGGCAGCGGGTGAGTGGGGCGCCGGAGGTGGGGAACGAGTGGGGGGGCGGCGGCCCCGGATTCGGCTCGGCTCAGGCCCCGCTGCTCTCCCCTCGGCAGGACGGGCTGTTAGAGAAGAACCCGGTCCGCAACTTCCTGGACGACCCGCGGCGCAGCGGCGCCTTCTCTGAGGCCGGCCGGAGGGAGGGCAGCCGCCGCCATGTCCGGAACTGGGGGGGCGCCGACTTTGATAAGGTCAAGACGGGCCTGGAGCCAGACAAGGAGCAGCCCTTACTGGTGCGTTTGAGAAACATATATATAGATATATATATATGCAAGGCAGCTCTCTGCACCCCCAGCTGGGAGGTTCTGCTGGACGCCCCACCCAAGCCCTGTGTGTGTGTGTGTGTGCGTGTGTGCGCGCGGGCCCTGGCCTCATCTGGCCTCTCCTGGCAGGGGCGGGGCAGTGGCCGGCGCAGGCGCCTTAAGGCACCCTTGGATATGACGCTTTCCATGACTGGCCGCGAACGAGCTGAGTACACTCGTTGGAAGCAGGAACGGGAGCAGATTGACCGGGATCGCTTGGCCCGGCACCGCCAGCCCACTGGGGAGTGGCGCCGAGAATGGGATGCTGAGAAGACAGAGCCTGCGTAGGTGCCCCAAGCGGGAGGGTCAGGAGGTGGTTGCTGGAGCAGCTCAGCTGCAGGAGTGGGAGGGTCTCCCTTACATCTGGCTGCTTCTCGTCTCCGCAGGCTGAAAGACGGCAGTGAGCCTCGAGGCTCATCGATGGACAAGCAGGGTAAGGAGGGAACAGGAGCCGTGGGCAAAGGGACTGGTGTCGCGGGAGGGAGAGTGGGTGTTTGGCAAGCATCGCCTCCCCTTGAGCCCCACCTGAGGGTCCCTGTCTTCCTCTGACCTCCTTGCTGTTCTAGAGCACTCCAAGCACCCTCCCAAACCGCCCACCTTTGGGGAGTTCATGGTCGGGCAGCCTGGGGACCGGCACTGGAAGATCCGAGGGCGTGGGCGCCCCCGAGGAAGTCCTCCCAAGTCCTACAGGTGAAGAAGGGCCGGGAGGGTGGGAACTGCGGCGGAGGAGGGCCTTCCTGCTCCTGCCCTGGCGCGAGACTCTCGGCTCAGCGTTGGCTTGTCTCTGCAGCATGCACGACAACCGGTGGGAAAAGGAGGAAGCCGACCGGACGCTGCCTACATCTGCGGGAGAGAATAAGGCGGAGGCTGCCTCTGGGATGCAGGTGGGAAGGGCTGCAGGTGTTTCTTATTCCTCCCCAAACCAGTTTGGGAGACCCCGGTGGGCCTCTGGGGAGCTCTTCCCTGGACCGGGGTTAAAGAGACGTCTCCTCTAGTCAACTGCAGTCCACGATTGAGTCAAAAGGGGTTCTCAGATCTCCCCTGTGATCCTTTTCTCTCCTGCCCTGTGATCCCCCAGACAGAGCCACAAATAGGAGCAGTGACAGAAGAGGATGAGGAAGAGTGGGAGGACGTCAGCGGGGAGGAGGAGGAAGAAGAAGAACCGGAAGCCAACAGCAGCCAGGCTTCTTCCTCGGGGGAAGATGGGCCTCGTTCCTCCTGCTCCCCCCTGCCCCCGAGGAAGCCCAGACAACAGCCCACCCTTCGCTCTGTTTCACCTCGAGCGGCTGCAGCCACGGAGGGGGCGCCCATGACCCCCTTGGGGCCGGCAGAGGGATACGAGCCTGTGTCCGACTGGGGGGAAGAGATGGAGAAGCGTTCTCCCCGGACCAGCCACAGTAGCCAAAGCCCCTTGGCTACACCCAAGGAGGAACTGCCTGCTGGCATTGCTGGTAAAGGGCGGGGCCATCCTAAAGGTGGGGGGCTCCTGAGGCAACCCTGGAGAGGTGGGGTAGGAGCCGGGGTGCATCTTACTACGGGATGCCAATCAGTGCTCCTCTTCCCTTCCTGCAGGAGTGGGTCCCCTGCTACCACTGGCAGCCCAGGGATCCCTTCCCACGGACCCCCCTGCAGGAGGGGCGGCTTCTGCTGCCCCCAGAGCCCTGGAGGCAGAGATACAAATGGATGCAGAAATGCCCAAAGAGGTGGAAGACGGGGGTGAGTAGACTCTCTGGCATCGTGGGCTCCTTTAGGGGCTCCTCCTGGCCTGCCTCCTCTCCCCCCCCCCCACCCCCGGAGTGTGGGGGGGAAACCCCCCCCCCCCCCCAGCTCCGTCCCTGCTGAGTCGACTGTAGCTGGAAGAAGCTCTGTGCAAAGGCCTTGAACCCACCTCCCGTTTGGGAAGCTGCAGTAGGGCCGCCTTAAGGCCCCGGCCAAGGGCGTCCCCTGCACCCTTTAAGCCTCGGAGAAGCAGGTGCCTGCCTCATTCCTGTAGCTTCCTTAAAAGTGTACGTTTCCTTGAGCTCCTCCTTTTAGGCTGCAGGCATCTGCCATCCCTTGATTACCTGGGGAGAGGATCTGCTTTACCCCAGTGGTGGGGGGCAACCGTTGACAGCATCACAGGTGGCCCCCACTAAACTCCACCAAGGGGTGCAGAAGACAAAACGGTCAGGTGTAACTTGGGGCTCTGTTCTCGTGAGCAGCTGCAAAAGGGCAGGGAATCTTCCTTTCCTAAGGAGATGGCAGGTGGGCCTTGATTTGTGGAAGGAGGGAGTGGAGACGAATGGCAACCCCCCCCCCAAAAAAAAAATTCTTCTGATTCACTGGAGGGGCTGCCTGCTCTCTGTTAGGGTAAAATTTCAAGGAAAGCACTACTGCCAGTGGATACCTCGCTAAATTTAATAGCAGAGTCCTCCGGCATGCATTGCATTAACGTCTTTGTGATTTTTAAAATTATTGATGTGCTCATGTCCAGAAATCAAAATAAGAGTTATATTTGGGATTTCAGCTTAAGATTTAAAATATCCATGCAGCATTTTATCATTACTTTGGGGCATTTTTGCTGCTCTTCAGCCTGAAAGGCCACCAGAACAATAAATAGTTCATAACGGCAATTCTTGCCCATCTAAGAAGTTGGAAAGGAGAAGAAAATCAGTAAAGGAACAATTTCAGTTTGAAAACTGAGGGTCCCTCCAAAAGGCTGATTTCAAAGATCCTGCTTAACCAGCTTGCCTTGAAACTCAGCAGCCCATTTGCAGAATGTGCTCAGCTTGCTTGATTTTAAGCTTTGTGGTGTGTTGGCGTGTTGTCCCAAAGCAGTTGGCTTGGTTACTTTGTGGCCCTACGCAGTGCACAAGTATCAGAGGCTGGTTAATTTGGTCGTGGGCCGAAGGGGGTTGCGTGGCCTCAGGATCCCCCTTTAACAGGCCTTTGCCTGTGGCCAGCCACCTTCCAATTGCCGTTTCGTGCGTGGTGACTTTTTCTCTCCTGTCCGCCAGGAGCACTTGGAGATTGAGGCCCCAGAGGCTGAACCCCGATGGCTCTTTCCCAGGGCTGGTTGAAATGCAGCTGGCAGCCCGCCGAGAACTTGAGCCAGACCGTCAGAGCTGTGGCTACAGTTGTGACACGCACATGCGTTCTGCGTGTTTGTGTCACTCTTGAACACTCTCCAGACGTTTGGCCTGATCCAGCCACCTGCCCCCCATCACCCTTTAGTGCTCTTAACACACCAATCATGGACAGGTGGGGGCTGCAGTTCCCCAGCCTTCTGCAATCTCCCTTGGATGGGAAAAGTAGTGTCTTCTCTCCAGCCCAGTCCTTTGTGTAGGAGGAGTGACCTGGGCCCAGGGAGAGGGTGAGGACACTCTTCCCGCCACGGGCTTCCCCATTATCATGTACGGAGTAAATCACTTCTTGACAATAAAGCTTGCGTGCGTCTTGTCTTCCTGCTTGCTCCGTGGCCCCCTCAGAAGTGCAAGTGGGGAGAGGAGAGAGACCTCGTGGACATGTCTCGGGAACGGAGTGTCTGGCCGCAGAAGATCATTGCTGGAGTGGAAGTGAGGAAAGCTTGAATAATTTCGTGAAAGGAAGGAAGTCTGCCCTGCGCTGGAGAAACCAGCTGCCCTCCGCCAAGGCTCTGCCACCGTGCCGACAAATGATAAGGAGCTAAGTAGAGGCTTCCGAGAAGTCTCGATTGCAGAGGGATTTTCTCTCGCTGGTTATTTTGGCCCTGCAATCGGCATCCCCACAAGTCCATGGTGGTGCCTGAAGCTTGACTATCTAGGCTTCCCATGGTCTCTTGGTCCCACCAATCATGGTTGGAATGGGAGCCCTGGTGTTGCAATGCCCCTTTCTTCCTCCTCGGCCAATTCATTTGTTAATGGCAATTAGGAAGACTGCCAGCCTGAAGCCCTGGGGTGGGGGTGGGGGTGGGGGATGGGAATGCCAGGTGAGTTCATCCACTGACTCTGGGCCAGGTATCACTGGTATAACACCTGAACACTATGCGTCCACGTGTCACTTTGGCCCACAGCAGCAAGCAGCCTGGGACCTCTTAATGTGCTGGACAGTCGTGTTCTCGGGGTTCCTCAGTCTATTTGGTTTTGGAATGCTGCAGATGGTACTTTCCATGTAAGGCCCCTTGGACCGAAGTTCTGCTTCAGGCCATTGGAATGAGCCCATTTCCTGGCCCAGGTGAGGTTGGCTGCCACCTGAAAGTCTGATTAGGAAGCTGGATGTCTGGGTGGCTTCTGAAAGTTATTTGGGGAATTTCTGTCCACTGTTTGCTTGGACTCTGACATCCGGAGGTGGTCTGTGCTCTGAGTGAAATTGCCTCTCCCTTAGGCTGTCATTCCGGACTGCAGCTTGGTTTTCTGAGGAGCTCAAGGAGATGTGTCGGACCTGCCCCAATCTGATTCCTTAGGAAAGAGAGGCCCTTGACTCCATTTTGTTAAAGCGAAGAGTTCTTTTACTAAAGGTGTTGGTTGCATGTAAACTCCAGCTCTGAACTTTGCTGTGCTGGAAAGATAGAGATTTTTTTTTTTTGAGATTTTATTAATATTTGTAGGCCGCCCTTTTCCCTGAGGGGACTCAGGGCGGCTCACATAAAATCG